GGCATTCAACTTAGTAATGCTCCTTGTGGTCTCCAGGCAAGGAGAGACTGCTATCCTGCGGCAAGGGGGAGTGGGCCACTTTTTTAGGCCTATAGGGTTCAGGAGGATCTGAGGTTCAAGATTCTCAAGATGTTCCCTGTTCAGTTCTAAGATATCATTCCTTCCGTATCAGAGCCCTGATTCTAGTGTCACAGATTTGTGGGGGAACTGTGGATGAAAACTTCTCTGCAATTTGGCTAATACCATAGTCAGATCCTAGGCCTGATTTTTAGCCCAATCTGTCCTCTGGTTGCAATGAGAGGTTATGACCAGAGGTGACCAGAGGAGGTAAGGGAAAATGTAAATGCTGTCATAGAAGTCTTGTGGTTTTCAGTCATGGTCTTAGTTGGTGATTGGCTGACTCAAGACTGTCATTTTTTTTCTTCAGCATATTGATGGCACTTAGCAATAACCAACTAAACCCACAGTCCTTATAGTTACCATTCCCATCTTGTCTCTCAAGTGCTAATGATACTGCACAAGGCACTGCACACCTGCAATCTGTATCCCATCCCGATTCACCACAGGAAACTCAGTGATTGTGTTACAAGAGCATGCCGAGGGGGTGATTACCTACTTCCACCAGTGTATTAGTTATCTATTGCTTAACAGCTTAAAACAAACATTTGTGTTCTCAGTTTCTATTGGTCAGGGATCCAGGAGCAGCTTAGCTGGGTGGTTTGGTTCAGGGTCTCTCACAAAGCTGTAACTGAGGTGATGGCCAGGGCTGCAGTCATCTCAAGGCTTGACCTAGGAAGAATCCTCTTCTGATTTCACTCACATGGCTATTGACAGGCCTCAGAATGTGCACTCCCAAGCTAACTCAGGCCCCCTCCACAGGGCTGCTTCACGATGTGGCAGCTGGCTTCTCCCAGAACAAGCAATCCAGGAAGAGAAACTCCCAAAATGGAAGCCATGGTCTTTTTAGAACTCAATTTCAGAAATGATATCTCATCATTTCTCCTTGTAAAATCGAGTCAATGAGTCCAGCTGACATTTAAGGAGAGGGTTACACAAGGGCATGAATACCAGGAGGTGGGGATCATGGGGTCCATCTTTCCACAACCCACAATGATATCCTTTTGCCATCTTGTTGGCAAGTGATCCAATTCCAGAATCCCATCTTAGGAGCTGCTTCCTAGGACTATTTCTGGTACCATCTGTCTTAGTTTGGGCTCCCCCAGAAGCAGACCTTGAGACAAAAATTACACTTCTAGTAGTTTGATAACAAAATGAATGTGACACTAATAGAAAAGTAGGGAAGGTGATACAAGGAAGGGAAGACTGCCAATGAAGAGTGTATTTTTTTTATCGTGATAAAATATACACAACATAAAATTTTCCATTTTAATCATTTTTAAGTATACAGTTGAGTGGTATTAAGCATATTCGCATTGTTGTGCAACCATCACCACCATCTATCTCCAGAACTTTTTTCCTCTTCCCAAACTGAAACTCCCTACCCATTCAACACTAACTCCCTATTCCTCCCTCCTTCCAACCCCTGGCAACCACCATTCTACTTTGGGTCTCTATGATTTTGACTACTCTAGATACCTCATGTAAGTGGAATCATTCATGTGTCAGAATTTTCTTCATTTTTAAGGCTGAATAATATTTCATTGTATGTATACATGGCATTTTGTTTATCCATTCATCCATCAATAGACACATGGGTTCCTTTCACCTTTTGCCTGCTGTGAATAATGCTACCATGAACATGGGTATAAGAGTGCATTTTTGAAGCCAGTTGTGAAAGTGGGCAACTGGCGTTTAATCCCATAGGGACACTCTGTGGATTGTGTATTTTATAGCTACTTCTGTCAGTCACTGGTTGAGGCTGCTTGTGAGACGTAAATTTCCTGGAACTTCTGGCCTCCTTAACCAGGAGTGGGCAGAGCAACCTTCTGTTGTTTTGGCAAAAACCCTCAGGCATGGGAATGCTAACACCAGCAGCTGGAAGCCAACAGGGCACAGAGGGAACTGGTGAGATCCCAGGGATATGGACGAGGCGCTGAGGGAAGCAGCCACAGGAGTCTTTCATGTAAATCATAATCACATCCATTGGTGTTAGTTCCAAGGTTTGTCCCTAATCCATCTTAACACACAACTTCTCAGTTGTTCTTCCTGCTTCCAGTCTCTCTCCTTTCCACACTATCCTCCAAAATGCTGCCAAAGTCGTGTTTTTCTGAAACACAGATTTAAACATGCCAATCCGTTCCTTGAAAAACTTCTGTGATGATGCCTGGTCTATAGAATTAAATTCTCCCTCTTCTTCACCATTAGGTCCAGCCATACCTCTCTCTCCACCTTCTCATATCTGCTACGACAGACTACCCTCTTTCGCCACCTTGAACTTTGGCTTATGTTGTTGTCTGGGTTCTCAATACTCTTTGCACATGGCAAACTCCAGTGTGCTCATCGAGGCTTAGCTCAAAGGTCGCCTTCCCTGTGATGTTTCCTCTAATCTCTCCTAGGCAAGACTAATTTTTTTTTCATGTTTACTGATTGGTTATTCCTCTGCCACAATGGTTATTATATTGTTTTAATTACTAGCATCTCTCTCTCTTTTCCTAGATGTTGCGCTGTACTAGACATTTCTGTCTCTCCAACTCCATGTGCATTTACTCAGTAAATGTTTGTTGAGTGAATAAGTGATTAGTTAAATGACTGACTGTCAAAACTCACCAAAAGGCAATGAAAAGCTAGTGAACTTCTTTAGGATCCTGCCAGTCACTCTAGTGCTTGGTCATCTGGTGTATGAATGATGTTAGATGGGAGCAATAAAAATTCTTCTGAAATTAAAGTGTAGGCCAATATCAAATTTTCACCATGCAAGAGAATTCTAGTGTTAACTTACAACACTTAAGAGGAAATTGAGGTGTGTGTATAGGATACGAAAACATTTTCAGCAACTTGTGCCAACACCAATATAAAGGCTTCCTTGTGAAAATGCAGGAGCTTATGGTACCACTTGCAAGTTGTCAGAGAACATTAAGTATCAATAGTGCTATAATCAGGCATCTGGATACACATCATGTGTTAATAGAGGGCTTCTATATTGTACGAACACACTTTATCTTATTATTGTTTGAATGATAGCCCAGAATGTAAGTATTCTTGTTTTTAGGTAAAAATCTGGAAATGCTTAAAGTTTCTCATTATGCAGGTGAAACCTATGGACTGTAGTTTTCTTTGGAGGCTGGACTCCTGCTGTGGTCTGGGAATTAGGTAAACATTGCTAGAGGCCACGAGCTGCCCAATGTGAGTGATTGTCCATGGAAGTGCAGGGCCTGGGCATGGACAGAAGGATTTTGCTCTGTGGTTGGAACAGGACACTTAAGTGTGGGGCAGTGGTGGGGCTTAGAGGCAGAGCACAGAGTCTATTCACGGGGCCAATGCGAGGAGTGTGGCCTCGAAGCCAGCAACAACAGTGAATGGCTATACAGTGATGTGGACAGTCATCATTGGTTGTGTAATATTTTTGATCATGTGTCAACAGAAAGGAGAAAAGTCTACATTCATGATCGCATTAGAGAGAATTTTGCAGTGAGCTACAATGTAAAGAGACATTCAAGATAGCTTAAAGAACCAGCCTTTATTGGAGCAGAGTGTTGGCACTATTTACAGCAAAACATTTTTGCCCAAATTCAGACTTCTCAAGACCTGAAGACTTCTCCAAGTTCTTACTGTACTAAGGTTAATTTGGGAGGCAGAACAGGAGGATGCCTTAGCTGCCCTCAGGGAATAGAAGAGCAGGGCAGAGTTGGGCATGGAAGTTCCAGCTCAGACTTGGGAAGATGGAGAAGGAAAGTGCCACTTCCTTGTTAGGAGAAGCATCCCTGACAGAAGCTTCTGAGTCTTCTGTTTTTGTCAAAATGCTCTTTATGATGAGTAGCAGTCCACAAAGATCCAGGCTCCTTCTCTGATTCTAATGCAGACAGCAGATTAAATAAAACCAATATGCAACCCATTTTCTATTTCTAGGTGGGAGGGGAAAAGACCCTAAGGGCAACTGTGTTTGTGCTGAGAGTTGAGAGTAAACAGCACATCAGGCACCCCCCCCCAAAAAAAAAAAAGAAATCCATTAGTTAGAATTTAAGATAATTATTTTTTCCCTTGCACAGTTGTCCATTATCTCATTGGACTTAAAGTGTCCTGCTGGAGGCTAAGCCACTGAGAGCGAGCCTCGGTTCCCGTGGGTGGTGTAGCTTGGAAGAGAATGAATAGGTTTGGTAGCACCTATCCCCTCTATTTGCAGGAGGCAGACATCCTGAAGGGAAAGACAGTGTGCCCACCTCATGATGCTTCTTCTCAGTTGGGAATCAGAGTCTCACAAGAGCCCCTGAACATCATGTGATAGCCATGATGGGAGAGAGAAGCTGAGGAGATAGCCTCCACCTTTCTGGCCAGTCTTAAATCCTAAAGCTACTGGGTTTAGGTAAAAAAAATGACATTCCATTTCCTGGTCTCCAAAGCTCTGCCAAGGTCTGCTGACATGCGAGTGCCCCTGTCTGATCCAGTGGCTTTAGATCTAGGGGAGTCCAAGCTGGAGCAGAAGAGACTAACTAGGAAGGAGCTCCTGTTGTGTGGGTGGGGGGAGAGGGTTGGGATGAGACTCTATCTAGGGGAGAGGGAAGGAAGTCATGTCCCAAGAGGGCTGTGGTAACCCTGGTTCTAGGAGAATTGAGAGGGGCTTGGGTAGAGAGGCAGGGGGCTTGAGTAGAGGGACTGGATGCCACAAATCCTCACTAGATCTTGTCTTTCCCTCATCCTCTTCTTGGAGGAAAGAATCTACGAGACACGTTAGTAAGAAACTACACAATTATCCCCTCTTTCTGTGGAGAGTGGAATAAAAACCAGTTTTGTTCTTTAATACCACAACTGCCTCCTAGGGAGCGTGGATCTTGATAAATAATGACACTCAAGACTCTGCTCTGCCCCCCTGCCCTGTTTTTCTCTGCTGAATCCCTAGATGGCTTAGTTATAAAGCCAGGTGATATGAACTGCTGAGAGCTAAATTGTTCTGGCCAACTGAAGAAGAATTTGAAGTTCCTTTGGTAATCCAGGAGAGATGAGATGAGTGCCATAGAGATATTATGAGTCACGGTTTGAGGCTGGGTTATATAAGGCGAAATACCAGAAGTTTCTCTGGGGCGACCTATATTAACAATGAAATACTTAATGTTCAACTGGGATTTATTTAAGTTGATGTAATGAAGATCCCCCTCTTCCATCAGCTTGCTTCAACATGAATGTTCAATAAACTCATGACTGGTGAGTTTTATTTCTTTGGTGTGAAATGGATGGAGCTCCACGGGTTGAGAGAGACACAGGGTGCCAGGAAACAGGATCCCAAAGGTGGAGATAACTATGAAAATGAGAGTATCTTGGGTGACTTTGTTTGAAGGGTCTGGAATTGGGTGATTCAAATCAACCTTAATCTAGTTCTAAAAGGGAGGATGTTCCTGGGTAACACTGATCGCACAAGAACAATTTGATGAAGTAGTGAGGGCAGAAGCCAGATACGAGCCCACTGCCGAATCAATCAGAGGCAAGAAAACAGAAACTGCGCTGTGTGGGTAATTCTTCTAAATCATGAAAATTATACAGAATGCAATTTAGTTGGTGAAATCTTGCATATTACATTGCAGATCTTGCATACATTACATTGTACTTAAAGTAACAGGACACAGCGGATACTAAAAGAAAGAAAGAAAAGAAAAAAAGTTGAAATGTTTCCAAAGCAACATATGTGTTTTGGATTTCAGATTTTCACTTTGTAGACCAGTAAGTAAGTTAGATTCCCTTCCCTTCAGGTTAGGTGACAAACGGGTGGATTAAATCAGTTGGGAGGCTGTTCAAAACGACATGGAGCTCCAAGGGTAAGGAATATGTAAGCAGGCTTATCCCCTTGTGGGCAATGCCAATGCCCAGTTATGGCTGGTGTCTGGTTTGTGGACCAAAGACAGGTGTCAGAATTTGGAATTCTAAAGATTATTTCCCCTTTGAAATAGAACAAGAACACCAAAGACAACAGTGGCCTCTTCATAAAATATGGACTTAAGCTTGGGCTAAAATTTAACGAGCTGACTTCATTAGTTAATGTGTCATGTAAAAAAAAGCCAAATTGGAAATAAAATGCTAATGGTAAGGGTAGGTGGGCACTCAAATATTTTCAAGATTGTGTATTTTATAAACTGGGAATAAAAAAATACAGAGGGGAAGGAGATGCTTTACAAATTCTTGAACCTACCTTCAATTGTCTGTATCTGGCCTCTCCAGCCGTGACTTCCCTTCTACTGCCTCCTCCCACCACCACACACCCTATGTCTTAGCCCCAAACACTCAGACATGAAAATTATGTGAGCAACTTGCCATTTTCCGGTTTTCATTAATTCAACTGCTTCATTGATTTTATCAAGATTCAGAGTATGGGTAATTAGTGGATCTAGATTAAACTTCTTTGCCATGTAATCAGAAACCAGTTTAGAGACGTCCTGTCTGCTTTTCCAGCCTGGAAATACACAGAATAGCAACAGATTTTACACATAGGTGTCACTATGCAAGAAGGGCCATACAAGGTAACTACTGGATATGTTGGCTTTGACTGAGGGAATCTAAGGATTTCCCATTAACTTGTCTCAGTCGTCAGGAGAATGCCTGTCCCAACCATATACCCTGTGCAGAAGGCTGTTCTCCTGAAGGAGACTGCTGGTACTACAGAGGAGAATTTACTTAAAGCAAGTAGAACGTGGACCTTGTCTTAGATGATCTTGGTGTCAGGCTGCACTGTCTGGGGAGCTGTAAATCCACATCTAATGTGTAAAAAAGGCCAAGGTCTTGGGAACCGTGAAAGGAAGCAGTTCAAAGGTTAGAAATAGGACACTTCCTTTGTGTGTGTCTGTGTGTGTGTGTGTGTGTTTTGATCTGCAGCTTCATGAAAGAGCCAAATATCTTAAGGGAAGAGAAGAACTTTTACCATGGCAGTGATCTCAGTGACAGCTTTTGGAAAAAGAATGTGTATAAAGCAAGATAAGAGGGGGCCGGCCCGGTGGCGCAAGGGGTTAAGTGCACATGCTCCGCTGCGACGGCCCGGGGCTCGCAGGTTCGGATCCTGGGTGCTCACCGACGTACTGCTTGTCAAGCCGCGCTGTGGCGGCATCCCACATAAAGTAGAGGAAGATGGGCATGGATGTTAGCCCAGGGCCAGTCTTCCTCAGCAAAAAAAGAGGAGGGTTGGCAGATGTTAGCTCAGGGCCGATCTTCCTCACAAAAAATAAATAAATAAATAAATAAAAATAAAGCAAAATAAGAATAAAATATGCCTTCTGGAAGTAAGGATTGCACAGGGAAAGATGGTGTCAGATAAGGTAACATAAGTTTAGCATTGTATTTTCCCTATTCTCATGCTTTTCAAGAAATTCTAGCCTTACATTTAGCACTGTGCTAAGTGACATGTCCAGTGAGTTACCATACAGAATTTGGTGGCCTGTTTGTTTCTGGAAAGGGTGAGAGTGGTGGAATTATACAAGGAGGCAAGGGTCCTAAACAGCTTATTCTGTGACACAATCTTGGCGGTTACTTGCTTTTTTTGGTTCCAGCCTGGGCCAGGTTCTCCATCCTTCCTGCTTACTCTCAAAACTACTGGAAACTCTTCCAGTATATTTATTTTCTATTTAAATTGGTTTCTGTTATACGTAATCGAGAATTCTAACTAGTGTTCTACGTCATGACACTAAGGGCTAATGTATTTTTCTATTTGTTTTTGTCTTTTTTGAAGAAATTGACATATAATTGATGTATAACATTGTATTAGTTTTAGGTGTAGAACATAATGATTTGATATACAGTCATGTGCTGCATAACGACATTTTGGTCAACAACGGACCACATATATGATGGTGGTCCTGTAAGATGAGTACCATATAGCCTAGGTATGTAGCAGGCTATACCATCTAGGTTTGTGTAAGTATACCCTGTGATGTTCACACAATGACGAAATCACCTAACACGTATTTCTCAGAACATATCCCCGTCGTTAAGTGATGCACGATTGTATGTATATATGGTAAAATGATTGATACTAAACTAAATTTAGTTAACATCTATCACCACACATAGTTACAAATTTTTTTTTCTTGTGATGACAACTTTTAAGATCTACTTTCTTTGCTTTTATCTTTTGATTGGTGATCTCATAAAGCATTTTCATATTTATGTAAGGAACATTTTCACCTGTTTTTTGTTTCTTCTTTCAACCAAAGAAAGGGTCCAGGATCACAGACTAGGCTGGGCAGTGTTTCTCAACAAGGGCACTAATGGCATTTTGGGTGGGGAAAATTCTTCATTGTGTACATGGTAGGAGGTTTAGCAAAGCTGTCCAACACCCATTAAATGCTCATTAATTGAAAACTATTGAACTAGAGGATTATACTATCCATGGAATGAATTAACTTACATTAATGATCATTATACGAATATTTAAGTGGCCAGTGAAATAGTTTCTTTATGAGGATTATTTAAAATATTAGTGATCTTATTTTACAAGAGTTAGCTGAGTATGTGTATTTGGAATCAACAGTTATCATCCATAAGTACAACAGAAATAGCAATGGGTATGTCCGATTATCCCAAATGAAGGAACTGAAAATTACAGTAAACTGGATTATTACTTTTTCTTTTTTTGCCGGCTCTGCCATTTATCTACCCTTCGTAAACAAATTGGGTAAGACTCCTAATATCTGTAGCAATACCACCACCATAGCTAATTTGGAAACCACAGATAGCTCACTAGTCCAAATAATTCAGATAGCTCCTGATTCTCATATCTTTTGCCCAAGATAAATGCACTCTTTTTAAATTTCAGATTATTTGCTTATGAGCCCAGAATCCTAAGCAGATTTATTTAATTTAGTTTGTTTTCTACTTTCTCAATAAAAGATTCTTCTAAAGTCTATAAAAAAATACAAGCTCTAAGGTTTAAAAAAATGGAAAAATCAAAGAATTCTATGAAAAAAAGTTTTTTCCTCTGGAAAAAATAATTCTCATTTGCTTTTTATCGATAGTATTTCTTTCCAATCATGAATCAATTATGTTTAATATCTTTGAGTTGGTATAATGACAACTCAATTGGTTCAGATAAGATTTACATTAGTTGAACAATGACTACTAATGGTTCAGTATATCCTCCAAAGAATCCCAGTTGGCAGGTATATAACTCAATTTAAGTATAGTTATTGATCACAATATTGCCTTTTCCTTTCAATTTAGAATTTGCATTAAACTTTGGACACTGGTTTCTTCACCAATGACTTTTAAAAAATTTCTTCTCTCCCTTTGCAAGAGAAAAAGCTTACCAAGAAGCAACTGTATACATCTAATACCCATCTACTTACCTTGGATATTTATGTGTTGAAACAAAAAGTGTAATCTAAAGCTCTTGTTTTATGTTCCTTCGCAAGCATTTATGACACATTTCTCTATTTCTCACCTCCAAAACCCCATGGATTTCCACTCTTCCCTATTTCATCCATACCTCCCAAAACAGATCCCTTCAAAGAACGTCCTGAGAAGAACAACCGGCCACTGATATTGAGTTGGACACCAGCAGTCAAGAGCCCCACAATCACACAGACCCCGTGGCTCTCGTGGCAGGAGGCCAGGGCAGCTACCTGTCATAAAGCCATACAAGACAATGCAGGAGTTAAAAGACATACTGGAGAGATGGACCTAAGTCTGAATCTCAGCTTGAGTGCTGAATGATCTGTGGCCGTTTCTGATTCTCCCTGTCCTCAGTTGAAATAACATTTATTTTGTAAGGATGTGCTGCAGCATAAGTAAGACATGTGTATTACCTGGTATGGTATCTGGAACTTTAGGACTTCATAAATGGAAATTAAAAAGTGAAAATACTGAAGGCACCCATGGTAGTAACAATAATAGTAATAATAATAACAATGATAATAATTTTTATAAGAACCATTACTGACACTGGTGGTTGGTTAGAGCTGACACTTTCTTTTAGACATTGAAGAGTACAGTTGGATTTTTATATAGCATAATGTATTAGCAAATTGATAAACAGATATGTTCCCATTAGTTATTTTTGAAGGCTATTTCTCACAGCAAGACTATCTGTGGGAAAGACTGAGAGAGAGGTTTTGTTATATGTTTTTACAGACAAGGGAAAAGTGAGGAATATGTGTAGTGAGGAATGAAACCATTTTGTAAGCTGAGGAAATGACCTAGGTCGGAAGAGACAGTTCTTGAGTTTCCATACAGCTGACTAGAAGATGGAGCCATGCAACCCAATGATATATTATTTCTACAAATCTCAAAAGAAAGCAAGTCTCAAATTGTGAAATAACTTCCTCTCCATTTATATTCTCTTATATAAACCATGTAAACCCAGAAAAACAAACATATTTTCCTTCATTTTTGAAGTGAACCCACTTAAATGGAGATTGGTAAATACTTTGCTTGGAAGCTTATCTCTGATCCAGCATGAAAGACTTTGCTGAAAGTGCAAAGCTCATTGCTTTATAGGGTCATTAACCCAATACTATCCTTGTCTTGCTTAAATCTTCCAGCTTAGAAATTATAGTTACCAGGTTGCTGCTTGTTACGAAATAATTCAGTGAGAATCCTTTACAAAGCCTTTCTGTCCTGCCTTTGGAGGTTGTCTGCTTATTTGAAGGAATGGTATGATGGAACAGAGGGAGAAGAAAACTCAGTGTGGGGGTTCAGTGCCTGGGATGGTGAATAGATTTGTAGGAGTGGACAGAGGGTACCAGCTAGGATGTCATGGGCACAAGGAAAATTAGAGGAATGTGGAGGGAATTTTAGAATTTTCATTCAATTTTAAAATCTAAAATGATGACTGGTAGCAATATTGGCGATTTTTACTCCAGAAGATCACATACCACAGTTTCTGGATTTCCAATGACCTCAAAGCAAAATTCCACGCCAGCACCTGTCATATCAAATAAAACTTCTTGGATGGGTTTCTTGTAGTCCTGAGGGTTGATGCACTCAGTGGCACCCACTTCCTTTGCCTTCTCAAATTTGTCTTTGTTGATGTCCACCCCAATGATCCTGGCCGCTCCGGCTGCTTTACAGCCCATGATGACAGACAGGCCAACGCCTCCAAGGCCAAACACGGCACAGGTGGAGCGTGGGGTCACCTGAGCACGTAAAGGCAGAACACAAAAGCAAAGGGGACTTAACTCAGTTGGAAAGACAAAGTCTGTATATACTTTTCATGAGACAGAAGCAAAGGACATTTTCAAATAAAACATAGCTAGAGAGTTTTAGTTTCTCAAGATATTTCTAAGTATGGGATACTTTTTACCAGAGGAGCAAAAACTACCTGCAAATAGAGGGTTTCAAGTCCCGAGAATTAGCATGAGTAGCAGCAGATTAATGAACTTTCATTGAATCTTAAGACTTATTTGACAGAGTATTTAATTCCAGATAGTTTTGAATTCTTTAAAACTGTCTCCATCTTCCGGCAGCCCTTCCTTTCTCTTTTCTTTTGGATATCTGTAAACTTTGCATTACTTACAATGTCAATACCTTATGAAGGCAAAGTGTCATTTTTTATTGGGTCCAAAATGAGACTAACTTAAGATGAACTCCTTCCATCCTCTGTATAGTATGGGAACTGATGGACGTTGGGAAAAACAAAGAGCTAAAATTCAACAGCCATTTAAAGAAGGGAGCTTGGCAGGTTTGGGTGATGTTCCAGAAATAGTTGTTTAACAGTAACCCACGCAATTGAAGCAGGATTACCTGACAGATCTGTCTAATATAGCAACACCCCCTCCATCATTCAGTCTTTTTGCTCATCTTTTCTTTTTACGAGCACTTATCACCAGGTGCTATATTATACAACAGAACAGAAGCTCGATGAGTTTTGTTAGCTGCTGAATCCCAGCACCCGGAACAGTGAATGGCTCCATAAATGTTTGTTGAATGAAAAAAAGAATGAACTGGAACGTGGAAGGACACATAGTCATTTTGTAACCGTGTTATGTTTAACTCCCAGGAATTCCTGATGTCTCCACTTGTCAATGGCATCCAGACTTGATTTGCCACTTACTACTGATCAAGAGGGAATGGGAAAGATGTTGAAGGGGGCATGGGATGACTAGGCAGATAGTAAAGAACTCAAGGATGTTTAGAGGCAGGTTTGTGATTCTTCCTGAGTTTGTATGATCAGACATGGCCCAGATGCATGAGGCCATTCAACTCCATATACCAATAATTCAATTCGTCGTTGGTATAAACACTCCTCACCTTGGCTGTAGTGATTGCAGCACCATATCCCGTGGAAAAACCACAGCTAACTAGGCATACTTTCTCCAGAGGTGCAACTGCATCAATCTTGGTAACCGAGATTTCTTTTATCACTGTGTATTCAGAAAAGGTGCTTGTATTCCCAAAGTGATATACTGGTTTTCCTTTGCAGGTAAACCTACTGGTACCATCAGACATCAGGCCAGTTTCTGATTGTCTTGTAGAGATAAAAAAAAAAAAAAAAACCAAAAATTTATATTTTGAATTAGAAACCTCTTCCGAGGAAACTGCATTAATTTTTCAAAAAGAAAATATTAGTAAAGACTTACTTGAATTGTATACAAAAATTGCCCCCAGGATTAACGCAAGAGGTACATTCTCCACACTGTGGTAGAAAGAGTGTGATAACTTTATCACCTAAGAGAAGAAAATCATTTATTAAGACCTTATTTTTTAAAGTAAAGTGATAGCTGTCTCTCAGGACTTCAACAACAGGGCACCCAAGAAGTATGATAACTAAGAATTATTTGAACATTTAGCTGTGCTTGAGACTATGTAGAATATCAAATACTTACAAAAAGAGGGGATATCTTTGGCATATGTGTCTAGCCCGGGCTCAGTGGCTGAATCTCAAGGAGCTGGCCCCAGATTTGCCTCCTCTGTAAGTTCCTCTTGAAGCACCAAATGATTTTGTCGTGTAGCTATTGAGCCAAGTCTTATCTTACATTTTATATACTAATTGCTGCTGTCGGGGATTGGATTTAAAATAGTTTGGATATTACACGCTCATAGGCTAGGATTCTGGATTAGGAAGAAAGGATGGTCTATATGCCGCCCTCTGTATTTTACATCAGTCCTTTCTCCTTGGCCATGGAGACTAAACGTAGGCAGATTTCTCTAGTAATGTTCAAAGTATATGGGGAAGATTAGAATAACTTGCCTTTGATGGACTTACTGATTGCCCCACTGTCTATCACTGCAAACCAGAACAATTTATTTCATAGTTTTAGTTAAAAACCTTTGTAGGATTTAGGCCCTACTGTTTTATTTACTTTTAGTTTTTAAAAAATAATAATACATATGGTAAAAATTTAAATTGCACAAAAGTGAAAATTGGCAGCCTAGTCTCCAGTCCCCCCTTCCCCACTGTAGAAACAATTACTCTTATCAGTATCCGTGGTTTCTTTCAGAGATATAACCCCTTTAAAAATACAAAGGCTAGCATACTGTCGACCCTGTCATAGGCCTTGCTTTTTTAGTTAACAATATAGCTATGAGATTTCTCATTTCAGTACATATAGCACTCTATCATTTTGCTTAATAGTTACATAGTATTCTGTTGTATAGATATATCATAATTTATTTAACCAGTCCCCTGGCCGCTGATAGACATTTAGGTTGTTTCTTGTTTTTTTTTTTAATTTATTTCCCCTGCTGTGAAAAGCAACAATGCAGTGAATGTTTTGTGCCCACATGGCCGTGGTAGGCAGAATTTCTAAAATGGCCCCCCAAAGATGTCCTGTTCTAATCATCAGAAACTGAACGTGTTGAGTTATCATGCCTGTGAATATGTTACATGGAAAGAGGGGCTTTGCAGATGTAATTAAGATTACTAATCAATTGACATTAAAATAGGGAGATTATCCTTGATTATTTAGGTGGACCCAAGGTAATCATGTGAGCCCTTGAGAGGAGACAAGAGGAAAGCAGAAGAGGAAGATAAAGCGATTCAAAGCACAAGAAAGATTTGATGTGTCATGGCTGCCGTGAGGCTGGAAGAGGGTGAAGGGGCCACAGGAGAAAGAATGTGAGCAGCTTCAAGGAGCTGAGGGCAGCCCCAGCTGACAACTGGTCAGCTGAGGTTGAGGACCTCAGTCCCACAACCTCAAGGAATTTGATTCTGGCAACAACTTGAATGAGCTTGGAAGTGGATTCTTCTCCAGAGTCTCCAGATAAGAACCAGCTGGCCAATGCCTTGATTTTGACCTTGTGAGACCCTAAGCAGAGAACCCAGCCAAGCCCGCTCAGACTTCTGACCTACAGGAACTGTGAGATAATAAATTTGTTTTGTTTTAAGCTGCTAAATTTGTGGTGATTTTTTTACATCAACAATAGAAAGCTAATACATGGGTATATATGTATGGAATAACTATCTAGAATTGGAAGTATGGGGTCCCAAACATATGCATTTAAATGATGCTACATATTGCCTAATTTAGAGTTGTGCAAATTTACTTTCCAAATAATAAGGTATGAGGGAGTTGTTTGCCTACACTCTTGTCAACCCTATATACTACTGAACTTTTAAATCTTTGCTAATGTTAGGTAAATACTGTTTTTAAAATTTTATTTATTTAGTATGTTTGAGGTTGTGCATCTTTTCACATGCTTAAAAGTTTTTTTATGTGTGTATGCATATCTATCTATATATACATATATTTTTTTTCTCTCCAAACTAGATGTGTATTTCTTTTGCTCATTTTTCCACTGGGCTATTTTTTAAATTGCTTTTAAGGAATTCTTTGTATATTAAGGAAATCTGCCCATTGTCATATTTGTTTGTTGATTTTGGGGGCATATTTAAAAACACTTTTTTTTTTGACGAGGAAGATTAGCCCTGAGCTAACATCTATTGCCAATCCTCCTCTTTTTGCTGAGGAAGATTGGCCCTCGGCTAACATCCATGCCCATCTTCCTCCACTTTATATATGGGACGCCTGCCACAGCATGGCTTGATGAGTGGTGCGTACGTCCGCACCCAGGATCCGAACCTGGGAACCCCAGGCCACTGAAGTGGAGCACACGAACTTAACCACTATGTCACTGGGCCGGCCCTGGGGGGATATTTTTTATATACAGAATTTAAAAAACTTATTACATTGTCAAATTTATCTATATATTATTTTATGTCCTCTGTTTCTTTTGTATTTATTAAAATTTCCTTCCCTTCTCTGAGCTAATACAACATTCTCTCATGGTATTTTACAGATCTTCTATGGTTTCACTTTTCACATTTAATTCTTGGATTCATACAGCATTTTTTTTGGATAAAGAATGCAATAGCAACTCAACTTACTTTTTTTCCCAGGTGACTATCCAGTTGTTTCAACATATTTGTTGAATAATCCATGTTTTCCCCCTAAAATTTGAAAGACAAACCTAATCCTGCATTAAATTTCTATATATATTTTATCCAGTTCTGGACTTCTTCCCTATTTGGTTCCTCTAACGTGTTTGACTCTTTATCATATGCGTCATTTAAATAATTGTTCAACAGTGTTTCCCTATTTGTCAATTTTGGTCTCATTTGCACTTTCTGTCAGTTCAGTTTCAGTGCACTCTATTTCTTGTTCTTATTAATATCAAAATTTAAATGCAAAGAATGTAATACATTGAGTATTTTTGTGTAACTTGTAAATAAGTATCCCTCCTTTTCTAAGAAATGGGTAACAGTTCACCTTTTATTTCACTTGATCTTAACATATTTAAAGGATACTTTTTATTTTCCTGATGTGGGTTCCAAATTGCTGCTGACTCCTCACTCCAGGTGCCAGTTCATACCTGTTTTCACTGTGCTCACGCCTTCTCCCACACTCTCGACTATTCCAGCCCCTTCATGGCCCAAAATGATGGGATAATTGTTGTGAGGGATTTTATTTGCCAACATTTTCATTTCTGTACCACAGAGCCCCGTGGCCACGATCTGTACGGAAGGCAAAGAGTAATATAGTTTTTTCTGTCTCAGATAAAGTTATTTTAGAATTGTTAATGTTTTAAACATTTTTTCTAATGCGATATGCTGCATTAATATTAATACATTCATTTCTTAGTTTTAGTTCTAGACAAGGATCAATAGTAATTTGTTTAAAGCAATGCAACATTTTTCATTACCTAATTTCAGAATCAAAGTGATGATTTTAAAACTTACTGGGGAGGACAGAGTGGGTTCAGAAGAGAGTTGTGGGACCACAGTGTGACATCAAAGGTCTCGCTTCATCCTTTGTTGGAGCTGTGGATGGGAGTGTGGAGGAAAGACCAACTGCAGAAGTAAAGGAAGTGCAACACAGAAGGAAAGGGGTAATGTTTCCTATTGTGATTGAAGCCTTAATGAGTTTCACACGAAGGCTGTGTAGTTGTGTTATTGGTACAAGTCATAATCCCACTTTTTGTTGTAAATCAGCCAGACAGTTTAAAGGGAGGCATTCTACAGCAGTGGTTAAGAGCTTAAGGCTGAAATCCTGGCTCTGCCCCTTCTTAGCTGTATGACCTGGGGCAAAATTATCCTGCGTGAGTCTCAGTTTCTTCATTTCTAAAATGGGTATGAGGTTGGCACACACACACACACACACAACGAAGTCAAGAATTGAAATCTATTGAAATTTTCCCATGTAAAAGGGGGATTATTGGAAGCATGCCATAAAATTGCTTGCAATCTGACTGTGGGAAGTGCAGTCAGACCTCATGGATCTAGAAATCCATCAAGCAGCCTTTGTCTTCATCTCCCTGCTTTGATTTGACGTGTGCATAGCTATTATTCTCTGCAGACAGGCTTTCTCTTATTCTTCATGATCACATGATCACATGACAGTTAAAAATGGCTACCAGTCCTGAGTCCATCCAGCCTCTCCAGTGCCCACCATCCCCTGCCTTGCTCATCCCTGTAGCTTGTTCAGATTCACGGGTGAGGGATTCAGATTTGTAGCTTGTCAGATAATGGTTGGATGTCTCTGAGTCAGTGTCCAAATCTGGTTGCATGAGTTGTGACCCTGCGGGTGGATAGTGGATGAGGATAGCCAGATGGCCCACTGTGCTCTCTGCAGGGGATGCAGGCCCGAGAAGACTCTCTGAGAAGAGGGCATGGATTGTGCAGGTAAGGTAACTGAGAAAATGACTGTCTCTTTGTAAATTAATAACTCTATTAATAAACAGTACTTATTCATCATTATTAAAATTAAATAATAACAGTTAAAGGACCCTGAACTAGAAGTGAGGTGAACTACGTTCTGCTCTGGAGGCCCCCTATTGGAGTCACGTAGTGCAGACTTAAGAACTCTCATGACCAGACTGCACCCCAGACCAGTGAATCACAAATTCAGAATGTCTGGGGGTGAGACCCAGTTATCATCATTTTTCAAAGCTCCCAGGGGATTCCAAATGTGTAACCAAGGTTGAGAAAAACTGTTGAAGTCTGTATTCTTACTCTACTTAGCTGTGTGAAGAGTCACTATGCCTCAGTGGATTTCAGTCTCATCTGTAAAACCAGGTACCCTGGGTCCCTTCTAGCTCTAACCTGAATTTTCAGGATTCAGAATTGATTTATCTGTAATCAAATTTTTCATACAACATATTTCAAGATAACCTAAATATTATGAAGAATGTCATGAAGAAATTTAAAGGTACAGATTAAAAATATGGTTCATGGGTAGAAACTTCTTTTAATTAGTAATTAGTACTATAGCTGTAAATAAGTATCCTTTGGGTATTTAGCCTATGCCACACCTCCTTAACCTTTTCTTTGGCTTTATTTGAAGAATGATAGAAATGTTTAACGAAAAAGAAATAAAAGAGTATGTAGTTTTCTTTCTGAATTGAACATTGTGAAAAGAATGTATAACTTACAGTGAACAGCTCTGATTTTTGGTGTGAAATGTTGTGGATTTTTTTTTACCTTTATGCGAACTTCCTTCACCTTTGGTGGGGCCACTTCTATCTCCTCAATGGAAAGTGGTGTACCTGGCTTCCAGAGTATGGCTGCTCTGCACCTGATAACCTGGGAAATGGAATATGGGAGCAGAAAGGGAAACTCCTTAGGCTTGGAATATGGAAGATTCCTATAGTAATGATTTTTACAAGGTTTAGTCCAGTTCTCCTTCACTCAAGCCAAAAAAAAAAAAAAAAAAAATCATTGCTTAAATATATGCTATATGTAGCCTCTTGAACCCCAATCCAACTTTTTTGTATTATCAGTCTCTGTATTCAAATTAGTTTTGCAATACTAATTATATTTACATAATGTGACACAACCAAGAGGATAGATATCATACTTTTGATCTTACCATGAATGAAGTTGTCCAGTGCCTGTTTCAGGGTAGGGATGGCATTGCAGTGTGGAAGTTATTTGTGCTCCTAGGCACGGGAGACAGTCAGTTTTGGGGTGGAGGGGTATGGAGCAGGGAGCGGAGACCATCTAGTTCCGGCAATCCATCAAATGGTGGTGGTCATTGGCAGACCGAGGTTAGAGAGGTTGTTGGTGGCAAGGTAGTCCTTAGGGGTTCTGATTTCAGCCCACCGCTGTTCTCACTATAAATTCTCTTTCCATGTGGTCTCACCTATTTCCATAGATTCAACCACTACCTTTATGTAGATGACTTGCACAATCTGTATCTATGAACAGACTTGTCCCTAAGCTTTAGACTTATTTATTCATCTGCTATTTGAATGTCCTACAGGTACCTCAAACTCAACATGTTAAAACATGAACACATCATTATTTCTTTCTCCTGTCACCCCTCCCCCACCCCGCCCTGCCCCAACCAGGGGTGGACACAATCTGCTTTTCCTGCTGCATTCTCTATTGCAATGAGTGGCCAAGTAACCTATTCACTCACCCAAGAAAGAAACCTGGGAAGTAGCCTTAATTTTTCTCTCTCCCTCAACCTCCATAATCTAAAATTTTTTGGAGTCTGTCCCCTCTTTTCCATTCCTGCTTCTACTGTATGGTCCAGGTCCTCATACCTTTCACCTGGCTTGAGTTCATCACCTTCAAATCCATCCTCTATATCATTGCCATCTGACTATAATCCTGATCATGCTAATCCCCTACCTAAAAATGATTTTGCTACCAGTTGTTTACCAGGATCTGTTGACATGGTCTACAAGGCTTTCCATGATCTTCTCCCTGTCAGTTTCTCCAGCCTTATTTCTGGTCACTTCCTGCCTCAGACTTTACCCTCCAGGCATAAAAGATATTCTGGAGATTCTCACATAGGACGTTTTCCTTGCTTCTATGTTTCTCCTCATGTTATTTCATCCTCCTGCACCACCGTCTCCTCTTTTACCTGGTGAATTCTTACCGCTGTAAGTTTCCTGTTAAGTGTCATGTTCTCTGGGAAGCCAAGCCAGGTTAGGAACACTTCCTCTCTTTCTCTTTTACTACTCTTGTGCCCTCTTTTATAATAATTATGCTTTTATAATTAATCTGTCTCTTTGTGAGATCCTTGGAGGAGGAGATATGTCTTTGACTCTGGAAAATTTGGTAGAGGGCTTGATATATTGCTTATTGAAGGACTGAAAAAACTGAGGAAAGGCAAAGCACATAAAGGGAAAGGAGAGGGAGAGGTCCTAAGACAGTCCCTCACCTTTACAAGTACTGTACAGAGACTAGTTGGGTGACGAGGTGTTGGTAAATAGGTAAGCACACAAATTGGCACAATTGAGACACGACAAAAAGGAGAAAGAAGACTTCACTTACTTTCCCTGTAGTATTCATGCTGACTTTCGTTGTATTCTTGCCGCAGATGAATGTATTGTGAAAGGGAGATTCTGGTTACAACTTTCACTGTGCAAAGTCCCAGAGTACGCACGTCACTGATCCATAAAGAGGCTGAGTCCTGAGCTGTTTGTATAATCAGGTAGTTATTATACCTGATGCCTAGAAACTCAGATTGTCCTGTTTCTTGAAGGAAGTTCCTAAGTATAATCTGAAATAGATTTAGCTCAGTGAAAGTGCACAAAATGTGAAATTGTGCAGTTTTTTTTTCTTCTCTCAATCATGAAGTTCTCCGCTTAGTATCCACTCTGTGGAGTTTTAAATTTGGTCTTTTAAATGTCCAAGTTCAGAATTTCTGACAGAGTCGATAAAATTGTTTCTTTATGTTGTTTTTCACATGTAGATATGGTCATCTGTGTCTCTAAACTTGAGTAATCCTTTTGATTTTCTAAATGTGTGTCACATTGTTGAGGAATTAGGATGTTACTAGAGAGTTTTATCTAGCAGTTTAGCATAAGCTCCTCACCTCTTGGTATGCTGAGCTGATTACTCAAAGAAAGTGAAACCAATTTGCATGAGGAGCCTGACAATCAGGATTTGGATTTGAGAAAATCTCTGCATGTGAACTAAGAGAGTCTTGACCAAGACCCAAGACCCTGATGAACAACAGGGACAATCCCAATAAAAGGCAGTACCAGTGGGCAGGTTTTAGCTAGAAGGGAAGAGAAGAAGAGTAAATGCTCTTTCTGTGTCACCTGCTGTGGTCATATGATTTTTCTTCTTTAGCGTGTCAATATGGTGGATTATATTGATTAATTCCCAAATATTGAACCAGCCTTACATACCTGGAACAAATCCCACTTGGTGTACGATTCCTTTTATATATTGCTGGATTCGTTTTGCTAATTTTTTTTAAAGATTTCTGTGACTATACTTATGAGAGTTATTGGTGTTAGTTTTCTTTCATCGCACTCTCCTTGTCTGATTTTGGTGTCATGGTAATACTAATTTCATAAAATTGATCCCTCCTCTTCTGTTTTCTAGGAGAGATTGTGTAGAATTTGTATTAATTCCTTAAATGTTTGGTATAATTCTCCAGTGAAACCATCTATGACTACAGATTTCTTTTTTTGGGATATTTTTAAATTATGAATTCAATTACCTTAATATTTGTAGGGCTATGCAAATGATCTATTTCATATTTGGTGAGTTGTGGTAGTTTGTGTTTTTTGAGGGACTAGTCCATTTCATCTAAGTTGTCAAATTTATGTATGTAGAGTTGTTAGTAGTATTCCCTTATTATTCTTTTGATGTCTGCAGTGTCTGTAGTGATATCCCTTGTTTTATTCTTGATATTGGTAATTTGTGTCTTCTTTCTGTTTTTCTTTGTCAGTGTTGCCAGAGGTTTGTTAGTTTCTTTCATCTTTTCAAAGAACCAGCTCTGTTTCATTGATTTTTCTCTGTTTTTCTCTTTTCAATTTCATTGATTTCTGCTATTATCATTTTCTTCCTTCTGCTTGTTTTGAGGTCCCATTAGTTGATGGTGTTGTGAGTTCTATACCTTTGCTTTCTCTGTCTAATTTTTCCCTCAATTCTTCAGACAGGAATGTTGAAGACTTTAACTAAAATTGTGGATTTGTATATTTTTCCTTTCAGTTCTATCAGATATTGCTTCACAAATTTGCAACTCTGATACATACAATGCTGTCTCTTCTTGGTAGATTGCCCTTTTATCATTATATAACATTCCTCTTTGCCTGTGATAATTTTTTTTTCTCTGAATCCACTTTGTTATTAATAGAGCCACTGCTGCTTTCTTTTGATTAATGTTTACATGATATATTTTTCATTTCTTTTCTTTCAACCTGCCTATATATGAAGTGAGTTTTTTATAGACAACATACAATTGAGTCATGTTTTTAAATCTACTCTGCCAATCTCTGTCTTTTTTTTTTTGCTGGGAAAGATTCTCCCCGAGCTAACATCTGTTGCCAATCTTCCTCGTTTTGTATGTGAGCTGCTGCCACAGCATGGCCGTGACGAGCGGTGTAGGTCCGTGCCCAGGAACCAAACCTGGCCCCCTGAAGTGGAGCATGCCAAACTTAACCACGAGGCCACTGGAGCTGGACTTCTGTCTTTTTTTAAAGAACAGCTTTTTTTTGTGTGAGGAAGATCAGCCCTGAGCTAACATCCATGCCAATCCTCCCCTTTTTGCTGAGGAAGACTGGCCCTGGGCCAACATCCGTGCCTGTCTTCCTCCACTTCATATGGGATGCCACCACAGCACGGCCCGACAAGCGGTACATCAGTGTGCACCCGGGATCCGAACCCGGGCAGCCAGCAACAGAGCACGCGCACTTAACTTCTACGCCTCGGGGCCGGCCCAAAGAACAGCTTTATTGAACTACAATTCACCTACTATACAATTCATCCATTTAAAGTGTACAATTTAATTTTTTTGTGTATTCACAGATATGTACAACCATCACTACAATCAATTTTAGAATACTTTCATCAACTCAGAAAGAAATCCCATACCTCCCTATGCCTGCATTCGCCCCCCTTCCCCAGCCCTGTGCAACCACTCATCTACTTTTCCATTTTATATGAATGGAATCATATGATATGTGGTCTTTTATGACTGGCATCTTTCACTTAGCGTAATGTTTTCAAGGTTCATCTGTGTTGTAGCATGTATCCATATTTCATTCCTTTTTATGGTCAAAAAAATTCTGTCGTATGGATATACTACATTATTTAATTGTTGCACATTTGGGTTGTTTTCACTTTTTGGCTATTATGAATCATGCTGCTATAATCATTCATGGACAAGTTTTTTTTTCTTTTTTTTTTTTCTGAGGAAGATCAGCCCTGAGCTAACATCCATGCCAATCCTCCTCTGTTTGCTGAGGAAGATTGGCCCTGGGCTAACATCTGTGCCCATCTTCCTCCACTTTATATGGGATGATGCCACAGCATGGCTTGACAAGCAGTGCTTCGGGTGGGTGCCCGGGATCTGAACCTGGGCCACCAGCAGCGGAGCGCGCACACTTACTGCTACACTACAGGGCCGGCCCCCGTGGACAAATTTTTTTATAGACATATGTTTTTATTTCTCTTGGGTATATACTTAGCAACTGAATTCCTGGGTCATATGGTAGAACTCTATGTTTAATTGTTTGAGAAACTACCAGACTGGTTTCCAGAGTGTTTGCACCATTTTACATTCCCTCTAGCAGTGTATGATGGTTACGATTTTTCCACATCTTCAACATTTGATATTATCTTATTTTTTTTTTATTATAGCCATCCTTTATCGATAGCATGCTGTGGGTGCAAAGTGGTATCTCATTGTGATTTTGGTTTGCATTTCTTTCCCTGATGCATAATGATGTCAAGCATCTTTTCATATGCTTATTGGCCATCTGTATATCTCCTTTGGAGAAATGTCTATTCAGATCATTTACCTGTTTGTTTTTTGTGAGGAAGATCAGCCCAGAGCTAACATCCGATGCCAATCCTCATCTTTATACTGAGGAAGATCGGCCCTGGGCTAACACCCGTGCCCATCTTCCTCGACTTTATATGGGATGCCGCCACTGCATGGCTTGACAAGTGGTGTGTCAGTGAGTGCCCAGGATCCGAACCCACGAACCCTGGGCCACCGAAGTGGAGCACGTGCACTTAACCACTTGCGCCACTCAGATCGTTTACCTGTTTTTAATTGAGCTCTTTGTCTTTTTATTATTAAATTGTAAGAATTCTTTGTTCTAGATACACATCTGTTGTCAAATATATGATTTGAAAAGATTTTCTCCCATCCTATGGGTTGTCTTTTCACTTTCTTGATAAGCTCCTTTATAACACAAAAAATTTTAATTTGGTGAAATCCAATTTGTCTACTTTTTTCTTTTTTTTTTGGTGTTATATATAAGAAATTATTGCCTAATCCAATGTTACAAAGATTAATACTGATAATTTTTTCTGAGTTTTATAGTTTTAGATTTTACATTTGAGTCTTTGATCCATTTTGAGTTAATTTGTATATGATTTGAGGTGAGGGTCCAACTTCATTCTTTTGTTTGTGGATATCCAGTTGTCCTAGCACCATTTGTTGAAAAGATTATTCTTTCAACAATCTGAATGTCTTGGTACCCTCGTCAAAAATCAGTGGACTATAGATATATGGGTTTATTTCTGGACTCTCAATTCTATTCGAGGTCTTTGCAGTTCTATAGAGCTTTAGAATCAACCTGTCAATTTCTATAAAAAGCCAACTATCATTATGATGGGGACTGTGTCAAATCTGAGATCAATTTGGGGAGTATTGCCATCCAGCAATATTAAGTTTTCTGATACACGAACAGGGGATATCTTTCCATTTATTTAGATTTTTAATTTCTTTGAACAGTATTTTATAATTTCAAATAAGTTTTGTTTTTCTTTTGTTTAATTTGTTCCTAAGTATTTTATTCTTTTTGATGCTATTGCAAATGCAATTATTTTCTTAATTTCCTTTTCAGATTGTTCTTTGCAAGTGTGTAGAAATACAATTGATTTTTGTATATTGATCATGGAGCTCACAACCTTGTTATATATGTTTATTAGTTCTAATAGTTTTTTAGTGGATTCATTAGGACTTTTTTGTATGCAAGCTCATCTTCTCTGCAATTAGAAATAGTTTTCCTTCTTTCTTTCTCTCCAATACAATGCCTTTTATTTCACTTCTTGCCTGACTGTATTGGATAGAACTTCCAGACAATGTTGAATAGAAGTGGCAAGAGTGGACATCGTTGTCTTCTTTCTCTTCTTAGGGGAAAGCATCCAGTCTTTCATTGTTAACTATAATGTTAGCTGTGGGTTTTTCATAGAAGCTCTTTATCAGTTTGAGGAAGTTCCCTTTTATTCTTGGTTTGTTGAATGTTTTTATCATGAAACAGTTTTGCATTTTGTCAAATAATTTTCTTTCTCTATTGAAATTATCATGTGGCTTTTGATTTTTATTTTATTGATATGGTGGATAACATTAAGTGATTTTTGGATGTTAAACCAGCCTTGCATGCCTGGGATATATCTCACTTGGTCATTGTATATAATT